GAATCGGTGCCTAAATTGGCCACAGATTCCAAATAATTCTTGACTAACGCGAAGAGATTACAACACTGATCCTCATTGAGCAACACTTCGCACTCTTTCAACACATTATAGCCATCCTTTCCTCTGTACAGAAAATCTTTGGTCACGAGTCGGTACTTCTTCTCCAAGTCGAGGCATTGGCCGCCAATTCGCACACTTTGAACGTCCACTCGATTGCCGACCGATTTGTTTGGATGAAATGCGAAGTGAATGCGCGACACCTGTGCGAAACTGCCGTCCAGTACAGCAAACTGAGAGACCGCACACTCGAGCGCCCCCAACAGTTGTCGGCCGGTTATGTTGAGCACAACGAGCGCGTCCATCATCGGCAGTATTCGCACCAAATCACGCACTTTAAAGGCACCGGTCGTATGGATTTGATCGCTTCGAAAGGTACCGGAGTTTAAGAGGACGGCGTCCACCCCAGTAGTGGCCAACACTATATCGCAAACAAAATTTCCTAAATTTGTTTCTCTCTGTCGGATAGACCCGAAACGGCCGTCAAGTGCTGAGCCCACGTCCGCCAACACGACATCCATTTTGGATTCGACGGCAAACGTAAACTTCTTGAGCTCTTCCTTCAGTTCCAGGTCCTCATTGAAGTCAAACGAATTGACAGATATTTCTTTGCATTTAATCTCGTATTTCTCGGACCCAATGAACTCGATATCAATTTTACTAAACTGTCGAAAATCTGTACCACTTTTGACACATAATATATTGTTGACTCGACGGCACTGGTAGTCGTGGTCGTGACCGCCCAGTATTAGGTCGATCTCCGAGACATTCTGCGCTAACAGACAGTCATTAGGCCATCGCATGTGAGTCAATGCGATCACAAAATCTACGGTTTCCTAAATTGCAAACAACGACTCATTTGTTAAGAAACTCATTAATAATAAACAATTAGACGTCAGTTGTCTCACCTCTTCCTTCAGATGTTTGGCCAGTATTTTGCCTTCAGATACAAAGTCTCGGTATATGTAGGGCTCGTCTATAGAGTCGCGTAACCACTGCTCCTCAACCAGACCTATGATTCCTATCTTTCATACAAAATAGCATTTAATAAAAAGTTGTGAAAATGTTTTGTTGAATACTTTTTTGCCGTTTCTGTGTATAATATGGGAGACGAGTGCGCCGGCCATCGGACGGTTAGTTTCGGGATCCAACACATTGGACAGAACCCATGGGAAGTGCGTTTGGCTCACAAAAGTCTTCAGGTGAGGGACACCGAAGTCTGTGCCCACAAACACACAACAATTAACGCATTACTATCGCTATCAACACATTTATCTCAAGACTAATCAGTTTAGACATTGAATACCAACCGAACTCATGGTTCCCAAAGAGGGCACAATCGACGCCCAATGCGTTCAATACGGGAATCATTTGCTCGCCTTTTGTGAAAGAACTCACTGTTTGTGGCAAACAATCAATGCATTAGACTATAAGACAATTCATGGCACATATGAGGGACTACTGACTGATGGACGGCGCCATTATGTCACCGCTGAAGAGCACCAAAGGGTCGCAGTGTTTGTGTGCGTTGAAGGCAGTGACGAGTCTGGGGGCGCCTCCCGAGGGCTCAACACTTCGCGACTCAACGTTATAGCTGTCGTTGAAGTGAAGAATCGATACAATTGTCGACCCATTCGTTGAGTTATTATTGTCTTCACTGGCGATGGCGTCAAACGACGGCATTCTCGACACCAATCTCTTGGACTCTCTGTTATGATTGACTTTTGAGGTGATAATCACTTTATGGATGAAGTGTTTTCGTGTCGACTGAAAGAGCATTGATTTCTTGACTGCCTTTCACTGCAAACACGACCCAAACGTTGTGTACATTTGACCACAATTTATGCCAAATTATATCAAATATGTCAACAATTCTGTATTCAATGGACATATGATTTGCATTCATATATACCATTACATAGGCATGAGTGTGGGGGTCAAGGAATATGTTTATACACAACAGTGAAACAGTAGCTGTATTATACAAATTAGCATTAAAGGGTTCATTCGGTGTAACGTTGTATTTGGCTATAAATAATACACAATTTTATTCTTAATGACAGTTTATTTATAACCAAAACTTGAGATAAGAAGTGTTTAATGATACGGAAAAGTGTATAAAAATATAGTGTATAAGTTATACAGTATAACATTTAAACATAATTGTCACACAAGTATTATCACAATTATCACAAGTATTAGAGGAATAGATTGCATTAAACTTAACATTATATCAAATCCTAAATGTATCAAAGTACGGTCATTTAAAATAATTTATATCAAAGTACTGTATGTTATATCATGATTTAAATTTGATCCTAAATTTGTGAACAAATTCTTAGCAACTCTAATGGCTAAGAGTTTATAAACTTTCATCTAATTATCACTTATTTTGTTTAACTAAGTTTTACAAACTTTTTAGAACCGGTATTTGGTTTGAAAAAAATTATAGATTCATTCATTTTGTTGAGACATTAACTCATTGACGGCATGAGACAACTCATCGATGGCTTTATCGATATCGTCATTAGTGGTGTCCCTACCAGTGCTCAGACGTATTGTCCTTTGAGCCAATTCCACACTAACACCCGATGCTATCAGTACTTTAGATGGATTTCCAGCCTATGTTTAAATTATTTTTTATTTATTACAAAACCCAATATAATGGTCTACCCGTCCGTACCTTTGTTTGAGATGAATGACAGGCAGCACCCAAAGAGGCCCTCAGATTAGGTGTGAGCGCAAGAATCTTAGAGCCAATCAGACACGGCTTATGAAAGGCCAGACTCGTGGTGTTGGGTAAGCGACCGGACGGACTGTTTTGGCAGTTAATGGACACCAAGTCTTTGAATTTCTTATGCAATTGAGTTTCGAAATATGTCTGAAGGCTAGCGAAGTGTTCGTTATATTTGTCGAGATTCTTGTGAACCAATTCAGAAGCCTATCACCAAATGAACGAATGGTTATTCAAAATAAATGAATGGATGAATGAATTGATGGCAAACCTTCGCCAGTCCCACAATCATCGGCGTATTCTCAGTGCCCGGTCTCAGAGTCCTCTCCTGTCCGCCACCGAACAGAACCGGAAGAAGTGGTGAATCAATTCGTCGATAAAGAGCCCCAATTCTGGGTCCATAGAACTGAATGATAGGCGAAGAACTTATTGTCAATAAAATACAAACAAAGTTTAAAAATGATAACAAGCCTTATGTCCAACAATTGTGAGATAATCGACGTGTAGGTCATGGACATCGACCTCACACTTGCCTATAGCCTGCGCCGCATCGCAATGAAAGCCTATTTTCTGCAAACCGGTGGTCACTCTCTGGACGTTGATCTTCGCCAAATTGACGCCAATCTCGCGGATCGGCTGAATAACTCCCGTCTCGTTGTTGGCCATCATTACAGTTATGAGACAAGTGTTGGGTCTGATAGCAGACAGTATGTCATCAGCGCTGACGCAACCGATCTTCTTGGAGACGGACACGAATGTCATTTCAATAGAGGCGCTGTCTTCGAGTGTCAGACGATTCAGCGGTTCCCGAATGGAGGGGTGCTCTATGTTTGTGGTGATTATGTGTGGCTTTTGATCCGATGTCGAGTTCTCGAGGAAGTGCTTAACCGAGGAGTTTATGATCCAATTGTTTGCCTAATCAATGGAAACAAAACTTTATTCTTGAGAACCAATATAAGCACCAAATCATGGATTACTTCAGTGCCGCCGGACGTGAAGATAATCTCGTGAGTGGTGTCGGCGTTAATCATATGAGCGACCGATTGCTTGGACTTCTCGATCACATCTTTGACGGCAATGCCTTCGCTATAACTGGAGGAAGGGTTGGCCCAATCGGTGGCCAATGAGGCGCTGATGGCGTCCAACACTTCTGTGGCCAACGGAGTGGTCGCGTTGTTGTCTAAGTATATCATTGCCACTGATTATCACTTAATTGAATCCAAACGTCAATTGAGTTGTAATAAAAGTTTTGAATTTTGAACAAAACTTTTATTTGTTGTATAATACGCTAAATGTTTGCATAAAGTGTTGCATAAAAAGCGGTTATAAATAAGTGTTGAATATATGTGTGAATGAGATGTGATTATAATTACTATAAACTGTGATAACAATTAAATAAACAAAATGTGTGTTAAGTGTAAAAAGCAATCAATAAAACACATGTTATTTAAAAGTCAATTCGTGTCTCACTTTTAATAATACACAACATATGACTGCC